TAGAAGCTTGAAACAGTAACAATGACAGAAAAATAAAGCGTAAAATTAAATGGTAGAAATTAAAGGCAAGAAAATAAATGTGATGAATGTAAATGAACATGAAATAAAAACTGAAATTAAATTTAAGGAAAGATTGATCCAAGCATTACATAAATTGTAGGCCTAAACACTAAAGGTGGAGTAGTTTCTCGATGTGAGAAAACTACCCCTTTACAATTGTGATTTTTGCCTAATACTACGAACAACACTTCCGCACACAAAACTTGGATGCCAAAAATTGTGAATCCGAGGTCCATTTATAGGAGGAGATTCGTGCACCAACTTCCATGGGTCATGTGTGAGAAGGGGAGGAGGTGGGAGAAAACTTCCAAGTAGTGTTGTTAATGGGTGGTTATATTTCTGAACTGCGGGCAAATAGAAAACGCCATTAGGGCAATGGTGAACGTCATTGCCTTCTTAATTAAGTGAGGTGGATGGCAAGGGCAATGGCGAACGCCATATCAGTAATTGGGCATAATTTGCCCATTTTCTTCATTTTCTTGTTCTTTTCCCGATTTTCTCGCACGTGCGCTCTTATTCGAAAAATACCTGAAACACAAACATAATACAATATAATAATTCTAAAAAAAAGTAAAACGACATTACATTGCATATGAATCAAGTCGAATTAAATGATACATTTTCACGTCATCAAACACCCCCACACTTAAACCATTGCTTGTCCTCAAGCAATCAACTAACATGGTCAAAAGAAAGAAATAAGCACGGTTTGAAACATAGGCATAATGAGACTTTAATCATACGTGACTGCTAGGCTAATGTTAGATTGATAGGTACTAAATATCAATACCAAGGATACCGTAACGACACAATTTCAAAAACTCCATCCTTATGCAAACCAATCTGAATCATGGCATTATAACTCAACCTGTATCTCTTGCTCTATTTTACCCCATTTCATTCTAGTGCAATCACTTTAACCCCGTTATCTATACACATTCATGGTAAGGAAAACTGTTAGTTACTATGATCTCATTGTTATTTCATTTTTCTCAGCAAATATGCTTAAGCATCAATTGAACTTAAAGAGTTTGTACCGTTAGGCTAAGTGATCGGGTAAGAACCACCTAACTTAGAAGGAACATATCCTATCATTCTTTTTTTTCTTTTTTTTCTTAACTTTATCACTTTAAACCAGAGATCATACACTTATTTGCATTAGCTTCTTACTTAGTTTGTTCTTAGGATGGTGCTAACTGCTTAAATAAACTACTTAGGGATTACTTTAAAAACTAGATCTTAAGGTCTCGGTATAATGGATACTCAAATTGACTTTGCATATTTAGGGGGTTTATGGTTTCAGGACAGTATCGATCTTATCAAAATTTTCCCAAGTCTCCCTAACACAGCCTAAATTAAAAACAACCTATATACTTTCAGAGTGTTGTGCCATGAATCGAAATAAAAATGATTGGTGGTATAATTTTTTTTTAAAATTTCAGGGAAATTGAATAACAAATGAAAACCACGCATAAAGACTCGACAACACATGCAAAGACTCGATAAAACATTAAAAACAAACAGAATTTCTAAAAGCATGAAATAAACTAGAAAATGATAAACTTAACTAGAAAGTGGTCAAATCAAAGCGGTAAAGTTCCTCCCCCACCCTTAAACCAAACATTGTCCTCAATGTTTTAATAAAAGGTGGAAAAAGGAAAGATAGAACCTGTATGAATGATACTGCGTGCCATATCTTCTCTGATACTTGCTTTATTGTCCCTGTCTTCACTGACGACTTCTACTTCGGCATTTGGCATTTTGAAATACCTTCGTTTGTGTAATTCTCGAACCAGTTCATCATATTTCCCGCTTCTAGAGGAAGTACTTGCAAAACGTGTTAGAAAAAAATGGTGTGGTGTGTGCAGGTGGAACTTGACCATGCAAAGAACGAGGAAGAGGTGAGTTACTCACGGGAGAGACATGCTCTCTCCTATCATACTCATCTTCAGTGTCACTACTAGCAACGAAATTCGTAGGAATTTTCATGGGCACCAACTTATCTCCAATATCGTCATCTAGAGAATTTTCGCCTAGACGTGGCCGATACGTGACAGGTGGTACATTTCCTTATTTTTTGAAAATTCAAAAAAACAAACATAGGAACTTAAAATAAAAACCTTGTGGGTTTCCTCTCACGCTGCACTTTATTTAACGTTGATAGCTCGACGGCTAAGGAGTTCAAGCACTTATGGTGGTTCTTTCGAGGATGGCACCTCGATCGAACTTTTAATAATCTTCGGCTTCCATGGCCACTTATCACACCATCTCTCATATCCCTCACATTTTGTTTTCTTCCTTCTATGGGGTGGTTCATTCTTTTGAACTTGTGGTGGTTCTGGATCGACCCTGAGTATCAGATTTTCAAGTTTAGGCTTAGTTATTTCATTCACCACCTCAAAGGTTAACTTCACCCTCTTAACAATAATGATATCCCTAGTTTCTTAGTCCTCAAGTTTTCTCTTTTTATGCAGAACCTCAGACAAAGGTGCATTGGTGTGGATATTTTCCAATACCTTCACATACATTTTGGATTGGGAGTCTACCTTAACTTCTACAAACCTTTGTGGGAAAAGAATCGATGGGGTATAGGGAAGAGTAACAACAATAGGTGCTTCCTTCTTTACCTCTTCGACAACCTCTCTTTTGGGTGGTGTCATACCCCAAATTTGTCCTACCTTTTTTCAAAATTCTCATTTGCCCGACTTTGTTTTTAATTTACCTCGCTTATACAGCGTAGCGTATTTTTCAGCAAAAACAAGCATTTTCGCTTTTTTAGCCCAATAAGGGTATGCCACGTGGCATTTGTTTTTTTATATATATACCTATTTTTTTTATATAGTTTCATTTTTCTCGTGATAGGTTAATATAATGTCTTTTTATTATTTTAATTAGTTTTGAATTAGAAATTAGGATTTAAATTTAAATTTTTTAATTAAATAGATTTAATTTAGAACTTAATTATAATTTAGAAATTTTAATTTTAAAAAAATATAGATTAAAAAATAGAGTTAGAATTTAATTAGGATTTATTTTAAATTATTAGATTAGATTTTATTTAATTAGCTTAGACTTAAAATTTTAATTAATAGTTAGAATTAATTAAATAGGAAATAGGTTTTTAATTTAGTTTATTATTCAAAAAAATAAATTAAAAGAAAATAAATAAAAAAAAGATGAAAATTAATTTGTTTAAGGACACGGTGGATTAGGGTTGGGTTTCTTGGGATAAATAAGGATACTACTGTTCACCATACCCTAAGGATTAAGGATGCTACTGTTCACCAAGCCCTAATTTGGGCCGCCCCTTTCAGGAACCCTAATTTCGAAATCACTGTTCACCTCTTCTCCTTCCCAAAATCCGGCGACACGCCTCCACCATTATCTTCTCTTTTGGAAGCTCTCACCGGAAAAGAAACCAAACCCTCAACCTTCCACCTCAAAACCACACGGAACAACCATCATTGAGCTGTTTCAACCTCATGATAACCCTTCCGTCAACTCCATCATCTCTCATTATCTACGCTCACCTCTTTCTCACCATAGATTTCCTTCGAACACTTGCCACCACAATATTCTCAATATCAAAACACCCTTTTCCAATCGAACTCACCACCCCTTTCGCTTTCCTCTAAACACCAACCGCCACCGTATTAACCTCATCGTGACACCATATCATCTGCTCTACGTTCATTCGATCGATTTGATTCTGAGTTCTTTTCTTCTTATTGATGGAAGCGATGATAATGATTCAACTTTGCTTGTTGCAATAATGGGATACCAGGTCATCTATAAGATGCACAGAAGATGCTCGATGAAATGTCTTGGTATGGAAGTGTGCCAAGGGAGTTGTTGTTTCCGCAGTGAGCAATGACACGGTTGTGACTTCATAGAAACACCAACAATAATACAAAGCAATGGTAGCTGCGGTGATGACAAACTGCTGACATTTTGATTTCATAGCTCGACTAGCTTCAAGATCGCAACCTTGTGTGGATGTGTTGAGATTGCATTGAGGAGTGAAGATGTGATATGTTTCATTAGCAGTAAAGATATTCCATTGGCTATACGGTGGTTCGAGGTCCGTTTGACAGTAGCAAGTCTCGCCATTCGTTCAAGTCCGCTCTGACAAACCAAACCGGTGATATTACACTTGTTCCCGATGCTGCCGTAAAGCTAAAAGAGAGAACCTGTTACGCGACTTCGGTAACGTGATTTCCCTGTCCTTTCTTTGGCTATTGTTCCTATATTGAAGATTTTAAATGCATAAACATGATGTTGAATTGCTACATATGTTATATTCATTTTAACTCGCTGAATGTTTCTTTGTCATGCCTATTTAATCCTCTGAAGTTGAGAATCCATTTGAAGTTATATATTATTCCAATTTGGCACAGGTTGTGGTCATTCTCAAACTGTTTCATTTTCTGTTGTTGCTAAGTTTAATCTTGGTATGTTTCCTTGCTGTTTAATGTTGTGTTAATTGTGCTGCTGCAAAAATGATCTAATTTGATCGTTCGCCGCAATTGTATTACATTTGGTTTGCATGGACGATGAAAGTTGTGATGTGGATAAATGTCGAATATCCTTCTTTCGGACTGGAAGTAACAAAGTAGTAGCATTACATTCATGACATTTGGTTTGAATATTTGGTTTGAATTAGTAAATACACTTGCAACAGTTTTAACTTTTAATTTTCGTCAATTCCGATTTCGTAAGTTTTAGATGTTGTTGTTGGCTAATGGGTGCTGTTATTAATTTGTGCTTGAGTGCCTATTCGTTTGCGTATCGATTTCAGTTACAACTTTGTGAATTCATGAGTTATTGATGGTTGGTGCTATTCGATTGTTATTGCTGATGTTTTCACTTTTCAGTTTTAATGTTGTTGGTATGAATTATCACTGTGAATGTTTTGAGTCTATCGTGACGAGTCGAGCAACATGATTTCACCCTCAATATTAGCAGCGCAAAGGGCAAAGTTGCTCAGTCACATCGAAGCTACACACACCTCACAACAGTTTCGCAACCGCAATATGGAGGGCACCCTTATCTTAGCAGTGAAGCTCCTGTCCAAAGTTTTTCTTCAATCACTCCCTGTTTTATCACAATTAACAACCTTCTGCAAGCTATGGTTAGGTGTACTGACAAGAATGGAAAAATATATGAAGGTGAAAGTTAGGGGGAAAAGAAGTGAGAAGCTTCAAGAAACAGTGCCCGACCTACTTAAGAACTCTTTGCTTTCTATGAAAATGAGAGGTATACTGGCCCAGAGGAGTGCATTGGGTGGCGATAGTCTTTGGGAATTAACTTGGCTTCATGTGAATAACATTTCACTCTCTTTGCAACTTGAGGTATTTCCTGAGCGGGACTCAGAACATTTGCAGCACAAACAGGGTGAATCAGTAGGAGGCTTGGCACCTGAAGAAAAGGTTTATGTCCCTTCAACTGGAATCACAAGCCTTGAAGATACCGGTTTTGTTGGTTAATGAGATTCAATGTTGTTTCCATTTGAATGGGTTTTTCTGCTCATACTCGATACACACCGATCCCTGAAGTTAAAATACTGATTATTCAAAATACTGTGAATCATATTCAGTTGTTAATTTTGGTTTGCTAATGGTAGATGCAGATATATTACAAGAATTCTCAGGCCAAGATTCAGAAGTTTCTAACGGTGTTATAGCTATTGGTTTACCGCAGCAAAATTCCTCAATGCTGAATCACAACGACTCTCGACAGTTCAAGTAAGAACGAGTTTTTCTTTATTTTCTATTTTGCTGGCTGTTGATATTGCGCAGGTTGCGGCCCGAATCATCAGTTATGCAGAAGAACAACATCATAGCATCAAACAGATTCCAACGGTGATGTTTAATCTAGGATTTAGACTCAATATTGGCTTACGTCGCGGCTTCTGCACATTGAAGAAGTAGCCACCGTTTCCTCACATCCGAGAAATTGCGTTCATGATGTCGAAAGCAGACAAGTGGTAATAATATAACCTTGTTCCGACATTGAGTTCGATATCGGTAACACTCTAATTTAATCTGTTGTTATTGAGTTGTAGATAATTATGGAGAAATAATTATATGCTTCTACAGGGTGAACATTATATCTATTGGATTCTATTTTAATAGTGTTTCAAATGCTTAGATTATAACTCTGGTTTTGTGTCATAATATTGTAAATACGATCTAGTTCAGTTTCTATTGTTGGTTTGGTTGCCACGACGGTTAATTGGTTTCGGCAATACTTTGATTCCGGGGTTCCATTTGAGGTTGTTATGGTGCTAGATGTTAAATATTATTCCAAATTGTTTTTACTAAACGTTTTTTCTAAATAATAAATTTAGTCAAATATCTATCTTTTCCTAATTTAATTATAATTTATTTTGACAATTACTTTTTAAATTATTTTCTCTATTTAATAACAGAAGTAGTGGGCTCTTGGGGTCTAGCATCCCTTGAGTCCTTGAACAACCGCTCTCGAGGCGCACGCCCTTGAGTTGTGGTTGTTCCGTCTTTTGATTTTCAAATTGTTTTTTTATTTAATTTAATTGAAATTTCTAAAAAAGGATATTTTTAAACAATTTTTATTAATTAGATCTTTTATAATAAATTCCAAATATTCATTCTTTTAAAATACAATACATTTCAAAATCATTACCAAATTAATATTTTAAACATTAAAACTTTTCAAAATTATACTTTATGTAAAACTTTTTTTAAGATATTAACTTTTTCAAAACAATTAATTATAATAATATTTTAAGTATAAAAAAAATATATATACTTTATTAATAAAGCTAAAATATTTTTCAAAGATATTAACCCTTTTTTTTTTAACAATTAAATATGACTAGGTTTTCTCAAAATCTTTTTATAAACAATTGATTAATTTATTCTTATGAAAATCAAATTTAGTTTTCTTAATTAAATTAGATTATTTTTCTCAAACAAATTTTAAAACAATTAAATTCTTGGATCTCGCCTTCCTTGAATTTTTTTTAAGCAACCGCTCTCGAGGTGCACACCTTGAGTTGTGACTCTTCCGATATTATTTTCAAGAATGCTTAGCGCGCCTAGTCCGAGTACGCCAATATTTTCAAACTATTTTCTAAATTAAATTACGAAAGAATCAAGTTCTTGGAGTCGCGCATTCCTCGAATTTGAGAGTGACTACTATTGAGGCGTACGCCTTGTATGGTGTGTCATTCAAACTTTCGTTCTTAAAATACCTCATCTAGTTATTTGGATAAGTATTCACTATCCCAACAAACACTATTTCATAACTAATGGGATGAAAAAGATTGTCGTTGGGATCTAGCATTCCAACGATATCCCGACTAATTGGTTACGAGGCCGACGTCTCGTTTATCGAGTAGTTGTCATTCCTCCTAATTTTCAAACCATCTAATCTCGTTCCTCATCTTCGTGCGATCGAGTCTAAACCCTAGTATGTCTCTAAACCATACATCCAATCCAAATTATGTTCTTAATTAAATTACGAAAGAACTGAGTTCTTGGAGTCTCGCACTCTTGGAACTCTTGAGTAACTACTCTTGGGGCATACGCTTTAGGTTGTGGTTCGCTCGACCTTTCGTTTATAAAACACGTGCCCTAATTATTTGGACAAATATCGTCATTTTCCATTCAAATACAATTTCATAATTAATTGGATGAAAAAGATTGTCGTTGGGATCTAGCATTCCAATAATATCCCGATTAATTGATTGCGAGACCGACGTCTCGTTTATCGAGTAGTCGTCATTCTTCCTTAAAATATTCAATCCAACTCTCTTCTCTCGCCCTCGTGCGTTTGAAACTTTCTCAAACATATTTTGAGTTTAGTCGAATGAAAAAGGTGTCGTTGGAATCTAGCACTCCAATAACATCCCGACTAATTGGTTGCGAGACTGACGTCTCGTTTATCGAGTAGTCGTCATTCTCCCTTAAAATATTCAACCACGTCAAATCTCTTTCCCGCCCCCGTGCGACCATAACCTTAAAACCTAGTCAAATCCATCTTATTTTCCAAAACAAAATACTCAACAAACCAAAACTTCTCAAAACCAATTCCTCGCCCTCGCGCGATCCTTACAACTCAAAAAACCTTCTACCAAGAACATTGTTTATTCCATTCTTCCGCGCATAACAAACTCGTGCTTCAGCCTCCCCTAGCGAGCAGACAAGCCAACGTTTAGCAGTTTGAATGCGACCTAAATACTCGTTCGTTTACCAACCCTTTTTACCGTAGTTAGCCGAACTACGGCTGCTCTGATTTCTCATTTATTAATGAGAATACGTAGGCATAGGATTGCGATGATCCTAGCGAGCACTTTTCCACTTTTCCTTCTTTCCCACCTTTAGGTTCCCATACCTTTTACCAAAGAACATTGTTTAGTCCCTTCTTCCGCGCATAACAAACTCGTGCTTCAGCCTCCCCTAGCGAGCAGACAAGCCAACGTTTAGCAGTTAGAATGCGACTTAAACTCTCGTTCATTCCAAACACAAACCTTTTACCGTAGTTGGCCAAACTACGGATGCTCTGATTCTTCATTCACTTTCGAATGTAAGATACGTAGGCACAAGATTGCGATGATCTTGGCTAGCACAATCCCCTCATTTTCCCGTAGTCCCACGAACTACGAATGCTCTGATTTTCCACTTCTTACAAGTGAAGATACGTAGGCACAAGGGCCCCCAATCCTTGGCGAGCACCCTATCCTATAACCATCCATTCCCCCCATAGGAGAAACCTTAGAAGAAAACAAATAAGCATAGTTAACTTTACTCTCAAATCGATCAAGAGGTTCCCGTTGAGTACAACGGACGTAGAGGGTGCTAATACCTTCCCTCTGCGTAACCGACTCCCGAACCTAGAATATTGGTTGCGATGACCATGTTCTTATCTCCTTTAAAGGTTTTATCGATATTTTCCTATTCCATCCTTGGAATGAATAAAGTTCGGTGGCGACTCTGTTTCGAACAGTATTTTCCGCGGCCATCGCGAGGATCGTATTTTTCGAGGTACGACAGATGGCGACTCTGCTGGGGACACGCATTATGCAAGAGAGAGTCAAGCCTAACTTGACTCGATTCGAGTGTACTAACCTTTTTGCTTAACTGTTTTCTTTATATTTATTTTTATCCTATTGTCTATTTCTTATTTTCTCTTTATATCGTATGCTGTTTATTATATCTGCCTGCTGGATTCGGGGATAACATTGCAAGTAAAGCTCTACACCCGAGCTTTGGAAAAAGAAGAGAGAAAACTTAGTTTATAATTGGTAGTAATTAGTGTTAGTCCCCAAGGACTCGCTCCTTGCGTGCCTAGCATGAAAGCTCCTCCAGAATAGACCTTTTCGTAGATCCTAACGTAACGCAGCTAGCCTGTTACACGATTTGATTCATGAAGGGTCCATGACTCTGGGAACCACTCTTAGAACCAGTTTCTATATTGGTAGTCGTGTAATGTTAATCTCCGAGGACCCGCTCCTCGTGTGCCTAGCATGAGGACTCCGCTCAGGAGAGACCCTATCGTACTCTCGTTATAATACAGCTAGCCTGTTGCGTAATGTTGATGCGATCGGTGTCCGTGATCTTGGGAACCTTATCCATCAACATAGAAGCTATCCCGTGAGTGGGTCTGTGGGTACAGAATCTAGAACTTGCCTTATATAGTCTACCGGTTAGGGCGCTTTGACTTGCTTATGTTTTCTTGGATCTTGTTTGTGCCTGCATTGCATTTGCATATCATTTCATGTGCATCTCATCTGCATTGCATATCATTCTCTCAACCAGAAAACTTATCCATCCTTTGTCCATAATCCGCAGTTGATTTCCCGACACCCGTATCGGACTTGAAGCAGCTTTTGGAAGAATCATGAGTTCAGAAGAGCAGAACCAGTTTGCATCAAGAGCAGATGTTGACTTAATGAAGAACCAGTTGGACCAGCTTGTGGAAGCTATGCTAGCCTTTTCAAGGAGAGAAAATAAATCTCAACGGCCTATAGTCACTAAGAACGTCATACCTCAGCCTGTGCGGATTCCTGTTGAAGACCAGGTTATACAAGAGCGTCACATTATTCAGGATGAACATACCTCGTCTCATGATGCTGTTGAATACCATAGCTTCACATTCACTACACCGAATTCCCAAGTGGCAAGCTTGGTGGGGAATGTTGAACGACCTCAGGATGATGAGTTTGCTGAAAAATGTCGTGTGTTGGAAGAGAAAGTTGAAGCCATGATGGAGCGTGATACTGCTGATCTGAATGCTTTGAATATGTGTTTGGTACCCCGGACTTGTGATACCTCCAAAGTTCAAGATGCCAAATTTTGAAAAGTACAAAGGAGATAGCTGTCCGAAGCAACATTTGGTAATGTTTTGCAGAAAGATGACGTTCTATGCTCGCAATGACAAACTTATGATTCACTGTTTCTAAGACAGTTTGAGTGGGGCATCATTGAGTTGGTACATGCAGCTA